TATGCATTTTTAATGTGCAGTCCAGTGAAATAATCAAATATACATGTGGGTTCTCAGATTCACCTAATGAGTAGTCATTATCTGGGGATAATGGATACTTCTCAAAGTCTTAGTGCCCTTCACAACAAGCCAGCATGGTAGAGACTGCTTCAGCCTTTCCCTTGAGAAGGGTGCATGTCACATTGCATAGGAAAATTTTTTTGAGTCATGTATTGGCCAGTATCCTGCAGAGCTAAGATGCTCAAGGGCGTTTTGCATTACACCAAAGTGACTCTTGCAAAAACATTACAGAAAGGAATGAAGTTGCATTATATTTTGTTAAAATAACTCAATTCTTATGTCCCTGTTCCAGGTTATGTGAATGTTTGGTATAGTCTTCGTTGTTTTAAAATAAAATATTATGACTTCTGGCACATGTTCAAGAAGGGTGGATTAATTTCTGAGTGAGCGCTTTCCAGCGCTGGGTCTATGCACTGGAGTCTATGTATCTATGTTGGTTCACCAGATTTGCTGAGAATTACAGCTTTCCATAGGACCTTGGGTTGCACAGATTCTGTTTTATCTCCAGCTTTGTATATCATGTACCTAATCTACTTTTTAAAAACAAAACAAAGGCGTAGTCAAAATATGAAGTTCACTGAGACCGTGATACCAACAAAAGCAAATTCCTGAATCTAATCTTTCCTCTTAAATGTTTTGCTATCTGGATTTTATTTAAAAATATGGTAGACATCTCAATAATATTTTTGTAAATTTTGTAGCCAGTTATGCCGATCTCTGTTCCATTTCAAGATCATTGGCATTGGCCCATTATTAAACATGCATTTCTAAGCTGGAAAGATGATATTATTTGTTGTTTGGATATTTATTGATGACTAAACTTCAGGATCAGAATATTTTATCAACTCACACTTAATGAATTAAGATTTCATAGGAATTAGCCACAGGCCAGGCTAGATGCTGGTTTATTAGATAATCATGTGAGCAAGGGGAGAGGATTAGGTCAATCTTTTAACAGAGCAGATTCCTTTGAAGGCAACAAAGCAACTCAAGTTGCATTGCTAACGATGCAACCAAAACAGCTGCCCTCTTCTTCTTAAGGCAGAGATTGTTGCCTCCCTTGTCATTTTAATTCCATCTTAGGCAGCACTGATTTCACAGCATTAGTTGACATGGAGTTTTCAAGATCCACTACAGTAATGTGTGTGTGTGTGTGTGTATGCGCCCAAAAGTGCTATTGCAGTGTAGGCATTCCAGTGTGCTGGTATATTGACTTTCTCTCATCTTTGGAGCCAATGAGAACTTGAGATAAAGCCTGGAACCATTCTCTTGGTGTCTACCATCGCTGTTATGCTCTCTTGCCTCTTTATTAGTGCTTTTGATGAGTTAAGTATTGCTGATCCCGAAAATCTGACCTTAGTTGGAAAGAGAAATTGTCTGTTTGCTATTCAGTTAAGAGACTTAAGACGAGACCATCCTAATTTTAAGGTTAGAGCTAATCGAATGACTAATGTTCTTCTAAAGCAGTAGTTCTCAACCAGTGGAGTGTGACCTCTTTGCGGTGTGTGTGTGTGTGTGTGTGTGTGTGTGTGACATATCTGATATGCTACATACCAGATATTTACATTACAATTCATAACAGTAGCAAAATTACAGCTATGAAATAACAATGAAAATAATTTTATGGTTGGGGGTCATCACCATACGAGGAACTGTATTAAAGGGTCACAGTATTAGGAAGGTTGAGAACCGCTGTTAAGGAGATATGAGAGGCACAGAGGTGAAGACCACGTGGAGACATGGTGATGTGTCTATAAGTCAGGGCATCCCCAGGATTGTCGACAGCCACAAGAAGCTGGGACAGAGATGTAGAAAGCTTCAGTTTCTACAAGCACTCGAAGTTGAACTCAACATCGTGCCTTCAGGCTTTTGCCCTCTTGAAAATAAATCTCTGTTGTTGCAAGCCAAAGATGTGGAGTAAATTATTTGAGCAGCCCTAGAGAAGGAGCAAAGTTATCAGCGCCAGTCTCTAGTCTGAGTTGAGCGTCCTCAGTCAGAGACACCCTCAGATAGGCGGGCCACATCCATCCATCCATGCTTTGCCCCGTGCACATCCCACATTTCACAAGTATAGGAAATGGAAAATTACTGTGATTCTCTCAAAAAGGTATGGGGACAACTGCCTTTTGGAGAAGGAGTTCAAGTGTGTATTTAACTGTATTTCCTTTTCCTAATACTTTCCCTCCCTCCCATCCTTCTTCCCACTCTCCCTCCCTCCCAATCTTTTTCAGTTCTTCCTGGCTGAACCACAGAATCCCAGCAATGCTGCAATGGTGACTGTGAACAGTCACCGTGGCATGGATATAGAAAGCAGAGGGTGTTCATAAAAGGGAGAGACCTCTTCTGTGTCATTTCTTGGGCACAAAGACGCTTGTGTAGCCCAGAACGCCTTGGGTGCTGATAAAGGGATAGCAATGAAACCAAGCTCATTTTGATTGGGAGAATGTTTTACAATGTGTGTGTGTGTGTGTGTGTGTGTGTGTGTGTGTGTGTGTGTGTTTTGTCATTTAGTCCATGGTTAAAAAAAGGGAACAAGGGTGGGGATCAGGTGGACGGAGAGTAGGGGTGGGAGGTGAGGGCTGGGAAAGAAGGGAAACTGAGGGGAGAGGTTATTGTTGGTACAAGCTGGAAACCCTTGACAGGGTAGGCTCCTGGGAAAATGTGGGGTGACTCTAGCTGAGACTTCTAGCAACAGGGGATATGGAGACTGAAGTGGCCACCTCCTAATGCCAGGCAGGACTTTCAGTGGAGGAAGGGGGACACCAACCTACCCATAAATCTTTTGACCCGAAATTTACCCTGCCTATCAGGTGTGCAGAGATAAAGACTGAATAAAGACTGAGGGAGGCACCGAACAATGACTGGCCCAAGTTGAGACCTACTCATGGAAGAGGGCCAACTCCTGACACTATTAAGGATACTCTTGTGTGCTCGCAGACAGGAGACTAGTGTAACTGTCCTTTGAGAGGTTCCAAGTAGCAGGAGGTCGAAACAGATGTGGAGAGCCTTAGCCAAACATCAGTCAGAGCTTTCGGAATCTTGTGGAAGTGTTGGGGGAAGGATAGATGGACCTGAAGAAGAAAAAAAACTTCCCAAGAAGACCAATAGAGTCAACTAACCTAGGTCCATGGCAGCTCACAGAGACTGAACCACTGATTGAAGAACATGCAAGGAGTGAAACTAGGCCCCCTAGCTGATGGGCAGCTTGGTCTTCATGTGGGTCCCCTACTTAGTAGAGTGGAGCTATAGACTCAGAGATAGAGATAGACTGCCTTGTCGGGCCTCAGTGGAAGAGGATCCTTTCAGTCCTGATGTGACTTGATGTGCAAGGTCCAGTTGACGGGGGAGGAGGGCTCCTCTTTTCTGAGGAGAAGGGGAGGGGGATGGGAGAAGAGTTGGGGGAGAGAGGAGGGAGGGGGTTGCCAAAGGAATGTAAAGCGAATAAAGAAATAAATTTTACAAAGAAAAGAAAATGTTAAGTATGCGTGCTGGACTGATAAGTTGGGGGAGAAAATGGGAAAGCAAAAAACAAAACACCCAGAAACTACAAGTGTGCTTGAGTGTGACATGGTGAATTTTAGAGTAGCTTCAGGGACCTTTGAAGACAGCTTACGGAGCCGGGTGAAGGGCAGCAAGCCACAGGTGTGGGCAGACCTTGAGTGTCAAGGCAGGTGGCTCCAGCGTCTGCACGGCCTGCAGGCTTGCTGTGCCACTGCAGGAGGCACAGACACTATTTTTAAAAAAAAAAAAAAACCCAGAAATGTGTCATGGTCTGTCTGACTCGCTCTGGTTCTATCAGCAACAAACAACAGTTCCCGTCGCTGCAATACTGGTTTGTCCAGACTTCTCAAGCACTTCATTTTGATGGCTGAGGCGGTATCACCATTTTCATTGTAGTTCTATTATTACTAATTAGGTTAATTTTTCTTCTTTTATAGTAAATATGATTTCCTATTGTTTGAATTACTATTTTATCCTTTTTCTTTAAAAAAATTACTCATTCTTTATATATTTTGGATGCTATTTGAAAATCGTGTGTATTATAAGTATGTTGACCCAGGCTATCACTTAGTCTTTTAGCTGTGTGTTGCATCATGTTACAAAAGTCTTCATTTTAATACTGAATCTACGTTATCAGCATTTCGTGTATCATTTGCACTTGTCAGGGCTTTATTTAGGAATTCTTTGTTTATCTCAGCAGGTAGTCCGCTCTCCTCTCAAGTATATAGTTTTGTTTTTTACATTAGGTTAATCTTACAAATTAATGTAGCAGATATGGAATCAAACATGTCTATGTGGTAATCTTAATTTTCATTCTTTTTTTTTCCATTAATCCATCATGCCCTTGTCATATAAGAAGCACAAACCTCTACTGACCATTTGCCCATCCAAGTCACATCCTACTCCCCTCACTCTGGCTAATATCAGGGATTTGTTCTTATATTTCACTGAGCAGTCGTTTCTGGAGAGGTGGGCTGCTACCCGCTTTACTACGATGACCCTGTCAATCTTGCCAGACTCTCTTTAGCAGCTTTATTATTATTGACTTGTGTCAGAGACCCAAATGCAGCTCTCAATTTTATCAATAACCCTTTTATGACCTTGAGATAGTTGTGAGTGTCACCACACCTTCAGAGCCACTTCGAGCCATCTAACTCACAAGAGAGAATTGCTATGGTCAAATAAAGTGAAGGAAGACAGCCCCCTGCAAAGTAGAAACTCATCTTCCATCACCCAATCCTAGTTCACTTTGAAAAAGTTACTTTCCTAAAATTGTCCACAGCTAGTAGATGCTTCATAAAAACTAACAAGATTAAACCCTAAAGCTACACTCTGACGACTCCGCTTGTCATCCTAGAATCCGGCTTGGCTAAGGCTTTTCTTTCTTTGGCTTTCTGTTTTGAATAAGTACTTACTACTCCTTTTATTAAGGAAACCCAAAACATTAGGGCAGGAAAAACTATTCCTCCAGAGAAGATGACGGCTTGGATGGCCTAGAATTCTCTCCTGGCTTCAGGTAAGATAAATGTGCTTTGTCTGATTCATTATGGATATAAAAGATGTCAAGAAAAAAATGGCCATTACAATTATGTGACTTTAAAGTATTTTCCAAAAGAGCCCTATCTGTCATCGGTTATGAAAGCTGACCAAATGCTCACGATGACAGACAGACAGCTGGTTCTCATTCATATTAAGTTCCTTCCAAGAAAAAGGAATGTTAAGGCAATCTGGGCTCCTATTATGTTGATTCCAATGTAATTACATTTGTTATTTCCTGGCGATGTGGTAAATCAAGCTGTGGCAAGTAGGTGGATATTTCACAGAAGTAATTTCAGAGAACATGAAATAGGATCACGTGTTTTGCTGAACTCTCTTCTGCTTTGAGACAAGCGATGTCCAGTCCAGGCACGGGGAGGGAGCAGAGTAGAGAGTGAACGGTATTTTCTTTCAAAGATAAGAAAGCCATGTTTTTCACAGATGGGTGCAAAATTTATAAGAAACAAAGGAAGGCAACGAGCTAAAACACATTGCAGGGGCAAAGACAGCGGCAAACGGCCTCTGTGTACAAGGCTCATCTCCTTTCTCTCTTTCTCCGTCTCTGTTCTCAGCCCCAAAGCTGCCAAACCAGCTGCTCCTCAGCAGTGCATCTCCTCCAAGCACACCTGCTGTCCCATAACCTTGCTCTGCTGTGGGACGGGCTGCCCATTAATGTCTACAGCCAGGGGTTGCTGACCCTTCTGATTTCATTACAGTCAGAAACTCTCTGGCGCTTACTCTCTCATTCATATAAAGGCCAAGTGCTTTCAGAATCCTTTCAGAAACCGATTGCCTAAGGGCCCAAATCAGAAAGGAATCTAATATAGATGCTAAATGATCATTCTGTGGTCTAAAAGTCTGTGTTCAAAATAGGCACAATTCTTCTTCCTGCCTGTGGTAAGGCCCTTGTTAATACCAGGAATGAAGTGTTTTCCCTGTGCAGGAGAAAAGCATAAAGGAATTTGACCTTAACGGGTGTGATGACCTTAACGCAGATTTAAATATTGAGACTCAATCGGCTCTTAATATTTTCCTACAGACCGCAGGGATGCAGCTGTTCCAATGCTCTACACATTTTAAGGAACTGGGGAGTGAAAAACCTGGACTGGTTTAGGGCACAGATGTGCCTGGAAGCGCTTGGGAAAGATGAACCCTGCAAGACCTTCACTGCGGGCCCACATGATTTCTTGAGACCATGCGAAATGAACCCATCCGCATGGCAGCCAGAGGCGGTGCTGCTCCTGAGGGAAGAAGAGGTGGCTTGGTTTTAGTTGCTGGGAAACAAGCCAATCCAACTGAAGATTTCATTTCAGAAGCGGTTCAGAGAGACCAGGTCCTCATGTGCTCCTTGAAAGATCTTGGTTCTCTATGTCCAGCACAGCCCGTGTTGCTTAGCTTGTGCTGAACAACTTGAAATCAGAAAAGAAAAACAAATTCCTCAGAGTCCTCCATTTTCTCAGCCTGCTCTGCTGCTCTCTGGTGAAACCTTCAGCTTGGAAAGAGTCCATGTGCATAAATAAAGGTGATCAAGAAATCAAACTTCATCTTCTTAAGTTCAAATATAGACAAGACTTTTATTTTTATTTTTTTATTTTGTTTTGGTCCTTCCCAGATTCACTTACTTCATTTGTGTATACTGTTTCAAGACTGGCTTAGAGGTCTAGAGAGATGGTTCAAAAGCTAAGAGCAACTCAGGTTGGATTCTCAGAACACACATGCCCCCCCCCCCCCATTTTCTGTAACTCCAGTTCCAGGGAACCTGACGCCCTCTTCTGGCCGCTGTGGGCATCACACATGCATGTGGTATAGGATCCACGCACATAAAATAAAAAATAAATAAAATTTCAAAACCTGGACCAGAGACTTGTCCTTACTAAAGGGGTTTGGGGCTTGGCTTCATTATTTGGAAGGACAGTTGAAATCCTATAACAGTTAAGAGTAAAATTACTTTTAAGAAATAATGTAAGTGGAGAAAAGATGAACAAATACGTCTATTCAATGCAATGCATACATTCCAAAATATGGAAACATTTAAAGTTCCAGAAGAGCAGAAAATCCAGGGAGCTCCCCTCTCCAGTATGAAGTATTCAGGGGTAACCAGTCACCCTATTCTTAATTTGTTCTTTTCTTTCCTCTGCTCCATATGAAATTGTCTCAATCCTCACTTAACCCCGGGGATGCCAGAATTCTGTTTGGTAGGATGCAGGATCCCAGCTTTGCCTACAATGACCTCACAGGACTCATTTTCAGTGACTGCCTCAGTGCTGGGGCCTTGGCTGGCAGAGCTTGAAGCCAAGCTCCCATTCTCTGCTTGTGTGACCTTGGAGATCCCTTGTGCCTTTGCTCTTCTCAAAGGCTTGGCCCAAAGTATCTTTGTGACACATGTCCTTTTGTTAAGTAACTGATGACTGGTCTGTTGCTGGGGTCTTGGAGAGTTAAGGCTCTCTTGCCCTGTTCAACAGTTCTCTGTTTTCACCCAGAAAGCCAGGGTGTGTGTGCATGTCCATGCCTGTGTGTATGTGTGTGCTTGTGTACATGTTGGCAGCAAGATAGTTTATCAACAACAACAAAACAACAAAACAGCTTCTGTTTGTGCCAGCCTTGTGATTTTAAACTGCTAAAGCAACCAAAAAAATGTTGGTTGTTATACATATGGCAATTTGGACAGCTCACAAAATGACCAAAAAAAATTTTGTTTTCTTCACCTCAGGAGGACACGGCCTTTTTTTTCAGGTACATGGTTCAGAGGACACCTTAGATTTCAGTCCCATATCCTCCTTCAGTGGCCTGAGACTTTTTAAGGGGTGAATGGATTCATTATATGATGACCATGGGTCATATGTCATCTTTGTGTTGTCTAGTAAGGGATGGTGTCACCTTCAAATCACTTATAGGTACTGTTTGATTTGGACTGGTGTAGCCCAATATTTTCCATGTTAGAGGATCCTGGGGGGTGGGCACACAGAAAGACCCGATAAAGATACCGAAGAAGCAAAAGCATACAAAGCTTTAACTTCTATTAACCTTGAAAATAAAACATTGCTACTTCGGTGATTTTTTTCTTTTCCAGTGTGCTAAAACATACACAGCATAACATTCTCACCACCCTGCAGCACAGTGCAGTGCCATTAAATGCATTCATAACATGGCGGACCCAAATCAGCTTTCTGTTTTCAGAGCTCTGCGTTGCCCTAAATAGAAGTTGCATACTCCTCTTTCTCCATTCACCCAGGCGTGGTGGTGTTGATACAGCTTTCACTTCCATGAATTTGCCTGTTCTTGATACCTTACATACGGAAATCACACAGCATTCATCCTCTTGTGCCTGGTTTATTTCACTTAGCATAATGTTATCAGGGTTTATCCACGTTGCATGGTGCATCAGAAATTCCTTTTTTTTTTTTTTTAATCTTGGAGTGGTAGACTTCCACCACAAGTACAAATCACATTTGTTTATCCATTCAGCTGTTGGTGGGCCTTTGGGAACCTTCCAAAATTTTTTCCTATTGTAAACAATCCTATTATGGATCCTGGTATTGAAGTAGCTGTTTGAATCTCTACTTTCAGGTTTTTTGGGGATCAATACTTAAAATTGAATTTGCTGGATCAATGATACGATTATCTCTTTTAAGAGCCATTAACTGGTTCTACCATGACCATACTATCTCCAGTGCCTACCACTAATGCGTGAGTACTCCAATTTCTCTCTATCCACACCAGAACTTATTTTCCATTTCTATTCATTTTGTAAAGTAACAGTCTAACAGAGGGGAAATAGCTTGCCTTGGTTTTGATTTTCACTTCCTGGTCTTTGAAGTGTTGGGCATCCTGTAATTACTGCTCAGTCATAAATCTTCTGTGGAGAGGTGTCTGCCAAGGCCCTTTGCTTACTTTTAGGTTGGGTTGGTTTTCATATTCTGGATATTGATTCTTCATCTCTATGTAGCTTTTCTGTGTGCTACTTTTTTCAGCCTATTGATGCACCATCTTTCTATGTGTAAACCTTGTTAATTTCAACAAAGTCCAATTTATCTACTCTTTTGGTTGCTGTGTACTAGTTTTTTTTTTTTTTTTCTAAACAGTGGTGTGTACTCACTGCATGTGTGATTGTTGTGTGTGGTGGGTGTGCGTGTGTGGGCAGATGCCAAGGGTCAGTGATGAATGTCTTCCTCAACTGCTGATCATATTAATTTTTTTTTGAGATAGGCTATCTTATTGAATGTGGACATCATTGATTAAATTAGACAAGCTGGTCTGCAAGCCCAAAAGATCCTCCTGTTTCTGCCTTTCCAATGCTCGGATTGCCAGGGCATGCTGGCAACTGTCTTCTTTCTTTCTTTCTTTCTTTCTTTCTTTCTTTCTTTCTTTCTTTCTTTCTTTCTTTCTTTCTTTCTTTCTTAACTTAACATTGATGCTGGGGATCCAAACATAAGTCTTCAAGGTTGTATGGCAAATCCTTTAACTGACTATCTCCTTGTTCCATGTTGTAGCTTTTGTAGAGGATATCTCATAGGAAGAAGAAGAGTTCCACCACACATAGGCAGCTCAATGTTTCCATGTTATAGAGCACTCTTGGCTCATCATAGGGGACTGACACCAGCGTTTCTGTGTGACAGATCACTCTCAGTATGCTTCATGTAGAGCAGTTCTATCCCTTCAAGTGAATTTTCTGATCCTTATTTATATTTTTATTTTATATTCTTACCTACAGAAGTTCTAAAATAAATCCTCACAGTTATCAAACGAATGGTTGAGGGACTACCATGTACAGGAAATTCAAAGGCAAAGTAAGACAAGTAAAATACATTTCAGTGAGGATAGGAGGATGTGAGAGTCAACCCTTCAGCTCCCAGCTGTGACTGTCAGCTGCATTAGGAAGAGCTGACAACGAGTCAGAAAAATTTCACAAATGTCAATGTGACTGTTTTAAAATGTGGGTTTAGCTCTGCCACTGTTAACACATGAGGCTCGAGTTTTAGAATGTCAATAGTCAAAGATAATATGAAGACTCAAAAGTTGTTTATGTGTGTGACAAAGTTCTTCTAAATATTGCATCTATAACATTTAGTGTATGTTTACATAACACTCAGGTTGATAGTCATAGCTCCCAAAAGGTACACAGGAATACATCTTGTAATTTCTTTGTCAGAGATACTTTAATAAGTTAAGCATTTTGGTTTCCATAAAGATAAGTAAGCTTGCAGACATATTTGCCCTCTGCTTTGTGATTAGGAAAGTGGCACATAACTGCACCTAGACATGTTCTGTCTTTAAAAAAAAAGCATACGAGCAACTTGACTCCTGCCTGTTTGACATGAGTCCCTCAGCGCATCACTGCAAAGGCAGCAGACGATTAGCACACTTGGCTTTAAAGTTTGTGAGAACAAGTGTCCTCTTGTCCCTCTGTGTTTATGTGGACTCTGAGGACACAGGGTTGAGTAACCTTTGCAACAAATCAATTAGAACACTATGAGACTAGTTTGATGCCATAAAAATACTGTAGCTGAGCTGAGTGGAGAAAGCCACTCTGGGCTGGAGATATGTTAATACAAAGGGGAATTTGCTCAATAGCAAAACTGTAGACCATCAATCACCTTGGATCTCAGCACTTTCGTGCTGTTCTAAGGCCGGTCAGTTATAATCCCAGCGAGTGAACTTTTTGAGCCCTTGACCCTTCCGTCTCAGGACTCAGTAGTACATCCGTGAAAGCCTAAACTACGACCGGGATGAGAACATTATCTACTGTTTCTGCTTCCTTACCATTTACATGAGCATAACAAGCTTTATGCTGTCTATGAAATTTCTCTATCCGTATTGATCTTGCCTTCAGAGTCATGCGTACCCACGTGCCAACCCAACTGTCCTTGCAGAATAATTACCTTAAAAGGAGATGAGCTTTTCCGGTCACACATTTGGTGGTAATAACAATGAAAACCATGTATGTGAAACACTGAATTCTTGATGGAACCTTAATTAGAAACTAAGGCACTTCTTTGAATCTTGAAGAGCAGCAAAGCTCCATAGTTTCAAGAGCTGCGCATTGCACATACTTTACTTAGACACCTGGACGGTTAATACATTTTGTATTTGTTCTCTCCTGCAGAACCTGCAAATGGAGTCTACTCTGCTCAGTCATGAAAACAGAAAAGCCCCCAATACACATAGTAACCCAAATCATGCAAAGACGATAAGACAAGAGGGCGCTCCATAGAACACTTCTCTTTGGACCCAGGTTTTAGGAGGCGATGTGTCTCGAAGACAGAGTTCATGTGGAGACAAGGAAAAGGGATAAAAATGTGGCAGAGTAGAGAACAGAAAGCTGATGCTCATAGAAGCAAATATCTATCTGCCTCCGGCTGTGAGGCATGGCTAACGGAGAGCAGTACATAGGTGTCAAATAGCTGGCATGGGCATATGCACAGTGGAATGAGCAACTGTCATTCTGACAAGGTCAGGTTAGAAGCCTAAGGAATTGTAGCTACCCGTCCTGAGCACGTTGATGGGGGTGTGACGCTTCTTTAACATGGCCCTGCTAACCTGCCCCCATGGTAGCTCTCCCTCTTTGCAGCTCACTTTTCCGCCTCATTTTATTTGTTTCAATTTTGGTGAGCCCTTAAGATACTCCTCCTTGGCTCTTGATCTCTTTGTTGAGAGCAATCTTGCCTCTTTAAAATCTAAAGTCAAAGATTCTTTTGGGGGAGAGTACTAACTCCCTTAATGCCGGTTTGTCTTCAGGAGCATCTCTGTGAACCTGCCATTCCCATTGGCCATACCTTCTTGACAGTTTCATGTCCTGGGGGATTTTTCCTTCGTTAAGGAGAATTGTTCCACTCTAGAACTTTTCTCTCTGTTAAAG